CTTTGTTTTCCTCATTTTCCATTCTCATTTCGGAATTTCCCGGTCTAAATTGTGGAAATGATTTCAAAGCTTCTGAATATCTTGTGATTTACTCGATACTGAAACAGTAATACTTCCAACCAGCTCAGCCGAGTACGCCTAAGAATGTTTACTTATGCTTAATTTTCATTTATATTATCTGTTTAACATTAACAATTTTCTGCCGATATTATCATTTGTTAATAACATTTTTTCGAGATTTCGTTGGTTTTTCTGTATTGTTGTTTTTATATTCGAACATTTATCGATAGCATTCATTGAACACTTCACAAACTCATCATCTATGCAAAACATTCAGTGCTTTTTGCAGAAATTATTGAATTGTGTGACCTTTTATGATGTATTCATCAGGATTTCCATCTTTTCATTGTATTTTTATGCAGCCGCTTTTTGTAAATGTTCATTTTATCAATTTTGAATTGTACCGATGTCAGCCATAATCATATTTATATTGAAATTGCATTCATTATGAGTTTAGCATTCTTTCGACTTTATTTTCTTTCAAATTTTGCTTTTTGTTGCTGATGTATTTCTTCAAGGATGTCTTCCTCTTCGTTACATTTACGGAATGTGCCAAATTCGTGTAAAGTTCTTGATTATATTATCCATCTCGTTCAGTATTTAATGAACCATTTTCTTCTTTTACCATTTGTCAGTACATTATCACTGGAATGTGAGCAAGTTAAATCTCAGAGGATTCCCAAGGAAGCACAATGCCATCATCTCAGAAAAGTGAGGCGATGTAATCTCTCATTATTATGGTACACAAAAGCACGACGTATTCTCACTGATAGTCAAAAGAATTGGCAAATCGTTTCTGAACACTCATTTACATGAGTAAATCGACTGAACTGAGAAAGAGCTATGTAGGGGAATTGAAACGGTACAGTTTAATCGGAGAAATATGAATGAGAGTAAGGTATTGATATGGCTGAAGTGATTGAGAATTAAAGCGTGATGTATTGAAACTGTAACGCAATCAGTAACGTTAGGTACGAGAGTGATAAGATATCGTGGAAATTAGACGTAAAAATTGGAGTATGGTCATGGAGAACGAGGAGAACAACTTCCATTGCAGGAACTGTTATGATGTGCACGACTCGGCGTGAACATGCTTTACATGCATTCATGCACAATGGTCTACAGTGGGCTTTCGTTTGTGACTGTCACGATGTCTCATCGCTCTCGTTCCTAGTTTTGTTAACCACATTATCGTTGCATTGTGTGGTAATGATTTTCTCATTCACTCCGTTCATATCACTGATTCACTCTCATCCCTTATTCCTCCAAAAAACCTACAGTCCGCAAATTTCTCCACTGTTCAACTTCAGCAAAATTGAATTTACAATAAAACGAGTATATGCGAGACAATTTGCCACGATAATATTTGATCTGATCATAACAAGGTGTTACTCGAAGCTCTTTTTGTTTGAGAAATGATTCTTTTGAGAAAGGTTAGATGCATCCAAACGATATCGTAACATATCTATCTGTTTTTATTTTTAACTGATAGTGAATTTAAAATGTGCAAGGTTTTTAGTGATATATGCAGATTAAATTTATCGTAATATATTAGCATATTCAGTATTGCTTTCTTACTTGTTTCATTTGGAAGGTCTCGGGAAGTGACATATACTCGGTGATCATTTCAGGATTTTCCAATTCTGTGAAGACTTTGATTTGATTTGACCTATATGCATTTTACCGTGAACATGTGATGTGAAGAACAGAACAAAGAACAAACATTTATTATCAAAACAATCGTTATAATTAACAACTAAACAATGAAGAATAACAATTGTAACGGTAAAATGCAGTTCGATAGCGTATTCAATCAGATAATAATGATAACCATTTGCCAATCATTATATCGAGCAACTGCAGCAAAAAACTCATCGATAGTGAAGAACGGATTGGGAACTTCAAAATATAATTCTGCAAGAACTTCATCAAGTCAATAGGATAGGTAGTTCGGACGATAGGTCTTCTAAAAGAGTTTGTCTTCTTTCATGAAAATAACATCTTTCCATAGGGTATTTCCCAAAACAATCCCTCATAATAATAGCCAAACCAAAATTGCTCACTAACGGCACCAGCTAACTGCAATCATAAAAGCTGAACCAAGTAACGAAAACATTAAAACTTTTTGAAAGGAATTTTGAAATTTGAAACGAAATTAAAATAACACCAGCTAACTGCAATAAACTTGAAATTTTGAAAATGACAAGTAACTATCAATTAAAAGTCTCATTTCTCTCTTACTCAAAAAGAAATGATAAGATTGGAGAAAGTATCAAATTAATGACTGTGAGAGGACATAAAACTTAAAACTTAAAGCAAACATGTTTTCCGAGACGAAATGGAACAAAACAATCGCAAATTAAGATTTCAAATTTTCAACTGGGATCCAGAAATCAGACAGCAGAGCAAATAACATACTTAAAGTTTAACATGATCAACTTAAGAGGGAAGAATATAATGACTACTCAAAAAAATTACTATAATTATTACGATATCAAACCATATAACTTATACAAAAAAGCGAATAGAAAGCAATTTATTCAGAGTGTGCAAAGCAACGTTTTCGTATAACAGCCACAACAACAGCAACAACAATGACCTCAACAAATGAGATTTAATATTTTAACGAAACCTTAAGACGGATATCAAATGATAACATCATGTAATATTGATCGAAACACATTCAATACCGTTCGATCAGATCAGTCGATAGACTGATCAATCAATAAATCGATCACTGGCCTGTCCTCAGATTCGTCATTCCAGCACGCATAACCTCATCCACCAGAAGTAAATTGCACGCAATCACGCAGCATGACGACAGACTGTTGCGTTTCACGATCACATTGTCCCATATTCCCTTCAAATAAGAACATTACAGCAATATAACAATCACAAATAATAATAAAACTCACCACTGGGTTCGTCGGCTCACCCGAGGTGATATCCAGTCCAACGGGTATCTTTCCACCGCTCGCCATTCTCTCTTCAGTCAGTTTCACAATCGTCTCTTGTGCATCGAAACCCGCGTTCATAGCCAAAGTCTTTGGAATCACCAATAATGCATCA